TCTCAGAGGATCACACATACACCAAAAAGCTCTTTTCCAAAAGTGTACACAGTGATATTGGCCTGAAGTTTTCTTTCTTTGTTGTGTCTCTATCTGGTTTTGGAATTAAGATGATGCTAGCTTCATAAAAAGAATTTGGGAGTTTTCCATTCTTCTGGATTTTTTGGAATAATACTGCTTCAATTTCTTTTGCTGTTATTGGTGTATTTAGATTTTCTGCTTCTTTTTCACTGAGTTTTGGAAGATTGTATTTTTCTAGAAATGTGTCCATTTCCCCTAGGTTTTCGAATTTCTTGGCATACAGTTCTTCATAGTAATTTCTTACAATCCCTTCTATTTCTGTGGTATCAGTTGTAATCTCTCCTCTTTCATTTCTGATTGTGTTTATTTGTGTCCTCTCTCTTCTTTTCTTGATGAGCCTACTTAAAGGCTTGTCTATTTTGTTTATCTTCTCAAAGAACCAACTCCTGGATTCATTGATCCTTAAAATTGTGCTTTTAGTTTCTATGTCATTTAATTCTGCTCTAATCTTGGTTATTTCCTTCCTTCTGCTTGCTCTGGGCTGTCTTTGTTGTTGTTCCTCGAGTTCTTGCAGGCGTAGGGTTAGGCACACACCTTTCATCTTTTAACTCCTTTCCAAAAAGCCTTCATGGGTTTTCTGTCATCTCTGCAGGGTCAAGTCCAAATACCTTAGCTGACAAAGTCCCGTACACCCATAGCTTCTGTTTTAACTGGCCTTTTTAGAGCTCAACATTCTACACTCTTCTAGCCACTCTGAAAGCACTATTTTCTGCGCACCACTGGGGCCTTTCAGAAGGCAGTATTTTTATAAATATGATCTTTTTCTGCTTAGAATACACCTTCTTGCCTGCTTTCTACAATCCTTTTTACATACTGAACCAACACCTATTCACCCTCCAAAGCGCAACTCAAACATACTCTTCTTCATTGAATCCTTCCTGATTCCCCCAGGCAATTAGCTTCGAGGTTCACAATGCATCTGGAACCCCTGCTCCTACCCACGGCTGTGCCTGAGCACCCGTGACACTGTATCAGTCATTTACTCAACACAGTATCTGTGTACCAGACACCAAACTATACAGTAAGTTACCCTTGTATTCCCACCCTGTAACACAGGGCCAGGAAAATTGTAGGCACTCAGAAAATGTATGTAGATGAACAAGTGAGAGAAAGAACTACAAACAAGAGCTTATCCAGTATCATCAGGAAAATCACTACTCTTCGGCTCTCCTTTTATGCCACTTGTGACTTTAAAAAGCAACTCAGAACAGGGAATCAGCCAAAGAAAGCAGCCCTCTCAGAACAGGAGTCGAGCAACTCAGAGTAGGGCATACCTGCAATACGGAAACTAAAAACCGTAAAAATCATAGAGCCGACATCTTCACCCTGTAATGAGAGTAAATACACCCGCAAGTCCTTTGTGACTTTCACAATTAGTTTTGTTTCCAGCACCACCATTTCAGTTAATGCTTTTTCCTGTATTTGATTGTCAGTAAAACATGTAACTTTTTGACATTTATTTACTGCAAACATATGCAATTCCTCAAAAAATATGCATTGTTCTGTGAGTTAATAAGTCACTGTGGATTCACTTGCAAATCTCCATCTATTACACCATTTCCATTGGAAAAATGTATTTCAAGTCCAATTAACCAATGGCACACAACCTATTTTTCTTTGGGGAACTGGAGTTCTAGTCAGTGGGTTACATTTTTGCCACTTTTAGGTATTGAATGAACTCTTGGCTCTAGAAACAATTATCTTCCAACTGAGACTGTCTAGAAGTCTCAGTGTTAACCTGGCTTGGTGGCTGAAGGGTACTTTTCTAAGGCTATAAAGCTTCTGAAAGCACACTTCCACTTAAAGAGCTGATCATGACCTGTGCCTACCCAGCAAATCTGGAGACACACACACACACACACGCACACACACACACACACACACAACTCCACAGAAAGGGGATCAACCATTTTTGGTCTCAGATGACCATGACCCTGAGGCAAAGGACAGACCAGTGAGGCACTAGATGCTCAATAAATGCTAAACTGAAAAGAATGAAAAGTTAATATCCAAATGCATCCCACAGATTTCAAATAAACAAGGTCTAATGTGAAAGAGTCTCTCTATTTAAAGTCAGTTCTGAAGAAAACAGGACCAAGTTCACACTATTACTATTTTTTATTATATAGAGATGAAGCCCCGGATATGAATTTGGTGCCCATTTTCCAAATTTTAAAAGCTGTCAATACCAGAAGAAATATGCGTGCTTCCTAAATTGATGGTTACAAAATAAAGTAACCGATACGTGAAGATTTGGGTACAGGAGACCTCTGCCAGCCAGTGAAGGAGTCATCACACGCAGCCCAGTTTTCTTAATGGGTAAGAGCTTTACAGACTGAAACAGCTTGGGAGGTCAACTATCCTGAGTGTCAATATCTCCAAAGTTTATGGCCTATTTCCCTCTCTTCTCAAAGAGTGCACTTAAAAATGTATCCCTTGGGTCATTCACTCTCGTTCATGGTAAACATCAATTACTGATTTATGTTATTTCAGGGGAATGCCTGCAGGATGGATGGAGGATTCCTACCTGAATTATTGCCCCGAATTTTTTCTCTCTTCCCTGGCTGTCAAGCTGTCAGGGATCATCTTTCATTCCTGGTTACAGCAGCCAATCACCCTGTTCTAAATGTATTAATAACCATAACATGCAATGGAGTATTGTTCAATTTTTTAATGTAAAGATTGTTGTCTAAAATAAGAGTAATTATGTCCCCAGAGAGGATACGAAGTATTCTCCCAGGGATTAGGCCATCTATTCTGGTTGCTCAACGGGCATTGCTGCCCTTTCTTCATCCTCAATTGCGTTCCAATGCCTGTAAGTGGGCATTCTTCAGACTCAGGTATTATGACACATCTTGATGCTCTCTGTGGCCCCCATGCTTCAGAGGTAGAGCAAACCAGCACACGGCTAGGGAACTTCCGTCCTGGCCACACAACAAAGCAAATGCAAAGGATTCCAAGGAAACAAACTGTCCGGACTGAAAGGTTAACCCACCAACTGGAAAACGGTCCTCATCTTACATAACGGGCCTAGATGGAGCATGTCCCCAGCATTCGGCAGCACGGACAGGCCGGTGTCTTGCGCAAATAAGTGTGGGAAAAAATTGGGGGGTGGATTATGAAATGACAAAACAACTCACAGAAGTTCAATCTTTTCTTGGATTATTAAATTACAAGTTTTTTAAAGTAAGCAACTTCTTTTTAATTCCATACGGTAATGCTTCACTTACTGAACTGCTGCTCTATTGGAAAAAGTCTTCTTTACTCAGCAGGAAAAAAAAATGTTGCTCTAATAATTGAGTAACTGAAAGATTAATTATCATCATTTTAAACCGTCCCCACAAGCACTGAAGTCAAGCATTCAACATAAATGATGGCACTCCAGTCCTGTGCATTCCACAAAACGCAAAAGTTTATGTAACCTTGTTTGTCAAACCTGAGAAAGCAAAATCAAGCAGGTGAGCCAGGCCACCCTGTCACATTAAGGACGGAAATAAAGAGAGTAGACATCAGTTATCCTGGTCATGCTTCCACACCCTTATAAAGGAGGCTGGCCTTTTAGCTATTTATAAATATGGGGCTGAAGGGACCCTGCCGCCAGGACCCTAGAGAGACACAGGGTGACCTGTCAGGCTCCAGCTGATCCCAGGGGGGTTGTGAGATCTCTCTCGGTGTGCCCCCCCAACACTTGTCAGCACAAGTTCTTGTGGGTGCAGTCCTGTCTGCTCAGGAAAAGGACTGTGAGGATTTCAAGCGGTCACTTCCAGCCTTTGATTCTATATATGGAAACATCCCATCCTAGTGTTTCCAGCATCATGAGCACCACATCAGGGAGGAGGAGTAAGGAGGAGGCGAGCTCCTTGCCTGCTGCCCTGACAACACAGTCGCTCTGTCTCCCAGGCCCCACTGCCCTGGACTGGCCCTTGTCATCAAATGGCAGCCCAGACCTCTGCTGAGTCTCGCAGGCCAACGGCTCTAACACGGAACAGCTGGAAGAGGACCCTGCATTCTTTGCTCTGCGTAAACACTGGGGGATCTGTTCACCCTCCTGCTGCCGCAGGAACGAAAGAATTTCCCCTATCCAAAACTACCACGAGCAGACCTTCCCTCCATCCCCCATCCTCGCTCCACCCCTCTGCATCCAGGGATATCATTCCAGTCTGTCACTGCCCATGCTAGCAAATGGCAAACTGCTGGGCCTTTTGCACGCATGCACTTCCTATCCTAGTTGAGGAGTCGGTAAATCCTAGCAGAGGAATATGGGACGATCCTGTTATCTTCAGTAAAGTTTCCTAACAAAAAGCGGCAAGGACATGCCTCCGGTGGGTGAGACCCTTTCTACAAGATCCGTACCAATTCGAACACCGTCAGTCATGACAGATCAGCATATCCGAATAGTATAGGCACTGCAAGTATTTTAATACTCGGTAGCGTCACCTACATATTACTCAGAATACGGAGCTCTAACTGTAATACCCGTGGGGAGAGATTAAGAATAAAATTGGATTTCCATGTATTGCCCACACAGCCTAATCAAAGCCCGGCTTCCTCATGTGTTGCCGAAACCCGGAGAGCCACGTTGCCCGAACGAAGAAGAAAAAAAGCCCAGAAAATCCAGACTCTACGTGACCTGACTTACTTATTTCCCAGGAAACTGCATGAGAGAAAAATCAATCATTCACGCTACCGTAGCTACCACACGGAATGGAGTTGACAGTGGGCAAAAAAACCCCAAAGCGGCCAGCGGAGGTAAGTGGGCGGCAGGGGCGGGGACGACGAAGGGGTCGAGAGGCCAAGGGCCCCGGGGACGGGCGCCCGTGTCCCCGCGGACCGCGGCTGGGGGCGGAGCCTGGGCCCGAGGCCGCGAATGGGAGGGTGGGGGGGACCGCGCGGCGCGACAGCGGCGGCCGCACACTCACCGGGGCTGTTGGCCTCGCCCTCCAGGACGTGCAGCTCCGCGCAGTCGGCCAGCGAGTGCTCCAGGCAGAGCTGGAGGAAGCGGGCCTGGGTCTGGCTCACGCGCTTGAGCAGCGACAGCAGCGCAACAGTCTGCTCGCATTCGTTCCAGCCCTTAAACCAGCCAGCCAGCACCCCGACCTGGTCGCGAAACATCATGGTTAGGGGGCTGCCCGCGGTCTACACAGCCCCCCTGGCGGCCGGCCCGCCTGCCCCAAACTTTGGCGGAGCCGCAGCCCCGCGGCCGCCGGAGCCGCGTTCCGGTTCCAAGGTGGCTCGGGCGCCCGGACGCCGCAGGTACCGCCTCGGCTCCTGCCTCTCGTCTGGTTTCAGTTACGTTCCGGTGGTTCTGGCTGATTTCCCCAGAGACGATGACAGACAGTAGCACGGAAATGTTTCTTTTTTTTAAAAAAATAACGATTTTCTAAAAAATCCGCACAAGGCACACAAACTGAATGAAGAATGCTTTCTTTCCCCCTCCTTCTCACAGCTTCGGGATGGTAATTGTCGGCGTCCCGGGGCCTCTTTCCCGATGGGCGGCAGCTCGGACCCTTCACACCCGCATTCCCGAGCGGCGGTCACCACTGAAAGGAGAGAAAGGGCTGCAGTGAGACCTCGGCCGGCCGGCCACGGAGCGCGCCCAACGAGTGCATCCGAGGGGCGGGGGGCGCCTGGCGGGGTCTCGGTCCCCCAAATTCCGGTTGCCCCCTCCGCACCCGAATACGGGAGACGAGCTTTCCCCGTTCTGGGAAAGACCAGAAGCCTCCCTCCCGAGTGCGGGAGGAGACCCCAGGGCTTCCTGTTGCTGCCTCTGGGCAGGGCTGGTGCTCCCCACACACCCCACCCGGAGTGGCCTCGGGTGCTGTGTCCGAGAACGCCAGCGCCAGCAACAGATTTTCCTCGCGCAGAAAACTTGCAATGCGGCTGCGAGGGGCGCGGGGGTGTGGGTGGGGGCTAACGCAAAGCAGAGGCGGAGGCAGCAGCAGCAGCCCGAGTTCCTTCCTCCTCCTCCTCCTCCTCCTGCCGGAGAAGCAGCCGAGAGGCTGCAGCTCCATCTACAGCAACAGCCAGCATCTCCACCACCAGGCGCCCCTCTGGATTTAGGCCGTGAGCAGCCAAGGCAGCAGCTCGAGACAAAAATAAACTCTCCCCACCCAAAGCTCCTCGCCCAGCGGGCGGAGGCGCAGCCAGAGCCCGGCTCCCCCGCGCCTCGCCGCTCCAGCCCACCCGGGAGGTCTCTAGGGCCTGCTTCGCCCCGAGCGATCAGATGTGCGCGTGCCTGTGCGTGTATGTGTAAGTGTGTATGCGCGTGTGTGCTTCAGGCATCCTGCCCCCGCTGCCGCCTCCTACGGGCGGGTCTGTCCGGCCCAGCGCCTGGTCCGCGCGTCCCAGGCCGAAGGCGGGCGGCACAACCCCGAGCGCACGCCGCTGGCGGAGACCACCGGGCCGCGGCACTACCTCCCGCAGCAGGCAGGGCGGCCCCGCCGGGACTGCGGCTCCACGCCGCTGGCACACACCCCCCAAGGACCTCAAAGAAAGTTCGGCTTCGGGGGCTGCCCGAGTCCTTCCCTGTTCGGTGGCCGCTGTGCGCAGAGGAGCGAGCCCAGCGACTCGACCCTCGATGGGGCGGCTCTCCCCCAACATCCCGCTTCCCGGCTCCCAGAACTTCTCGAACGGAGAGGGAAGTCCGCAGAAAGGGACCCAGTGGCCGGAGGGTCCCCTGCCGGGGGCAGAAGGAAAGGGGCGCTCACCTCCACGGGGCTCATAGCTGCGGTTCGGGGCCCGCGCGGGTCCGGGCCTGCGGCGGCTGTCAGCGAGGCTGGGGGTGCCCGCAGCGCGGGCTTCGGGCCATGCCGTCGGGGCGGGCGGCGCAGGGAGAGAGCGGCGCTGGGAGTCCGAGCCGCCGCCACCGCCGCTGCCTCCGGTGTCGGCTGGCGGAGGACTGAGCCGCTCAAGCCGGAGCTCCCCACATGCTACTGATTAACATACACCATTACATCATGGGCTTGGCAGGGAGCGCCCGAGCGGGGGGAGAGGAACCCGGGCGGCGGGCGGCGGCGAGCGAGGGAGTGGGGGGAGGATCCCGGACCGGCCTGCAGCAGGGGGTGGGGGGAGCGGATTCCAACGTGGGGGCCAGAAAAGGGGCGGGGAGCGGGTGGGCGGAGCCAGATGCGCAAAGAGGTCGGGTTGGAGGCGCGGGTGGAGGGAAGAAGTTTGGGGAAGGGGAGGGGTCCGGGCGAATTCCTGCTGCTGCCGCCTGTGGATTGTGGAGGGGTTGGCGGCTGGGGCGTTCGAGTCACCGATGGAGGGCGGGCGGGGGACCCGAGGGCTCTTGAGCAGGGACGGTGCTGCCACCGGCTGCTCGTCCTTGGGACTGTGGTTTGCCACTCGAGTGACCCCTCAGCCTGACTTGGGTCCCAGGGTGGCAGAGCGCCTGGTCCCACAGGCGGCGGAGACCTGAGGCCACTGCCGCTGGGGGCGTGGACGGGTTTGGGAGGTCACAGACGTGGAGGGAGGAGGAAGCCCACGGGCGGTACGCGGAGCTGGACGTGTCTGGGCGCCAGGCTCCACGGGCCGAATCGGAGGAGCGCGAGGAAAGCCTGGTCCGACCACCCCCGCCCGGGTCGGGCTTCGGATGCCCTTTGCTCCTACCCAGGGCCCCGTGCCCCTCTCCGGCCTCTCTCTTTGCTGGAAAGCCGCCTACGTCTGTGACTAGCCTGGGAGCTTTACGCCCGGAGCGCAGGCTGCGGCTGCGGGCCTGAAGCGGAGACGGCGTGGCCCTGGTTGGCAGGGAGGCGGTCGCGGCCACCTGTCTGCGTGTCTGAGTCGCCTCTACCTGGCTCTGGAGAGCGCGCGAGGCCAGGCTGGGACTCCAGAGGTCCTGGTGGTGCGGAAGAGGACAGGCAAGCGTGGCGCTGGGGCCCAGCCACAAGAGGTGGCTAGTCTCTCGAAAGTACAGAATTGTTTAAAAAATGCCAAAAACTAAAAATCGATGTACCTTCTAGTATTAGTTGAAACCTCGCAGATGGAGTTGATGACCGAATTCAGACTATCTCCTATTTCCAGTGAAAGCACTAAACCCTTGAACATTTTCTCCAGCAACTTCATTAAAAAGTACTTCTGAGAAATGGGTGAATTGCGTATTTCCATTCCAGCTCTCCCCGTTCTTCGGAATACAGTATTAGGAGATAAAGTATCTGATATCCTTCTCCTACTTCGGTCTTTCAACTTCGCATATGTCCCTGGAATTTCGATTCTTTCTTCCTTCCTCGAATCTAATCTCTGCATCGTTTAGCTCATTCAGAGATGCGACAGCACCTAACCAACTGTTGAGGTATTGAAATGTCTTATGGAGCGGTAGAAGTTTAGGTGTTGCCATTAAAACAGCGTGTGTGAATGATTTTTAAAAGTTCCTTATGAACCAGCCAGGAAAGGTGTCTGCACACTTTAATGAATATTTTGCCCTAAAAACAAGAAGTCTAAAGTCAATGTTTTATTTTTGTTTCGTTTTATCCTTATAGAGGCAGAAAAGCTTGACATGTTTTCTCCAAGAGATCACTCTGAACTAGCGAGTCCTTGGTAGTAGTTTCTAAGGAAACCTGGGGGAGGGTCGGAGCACTGTCTACCTGGGTGGAGACCTTCCTATCTACCGCAGACAAAGCGTTAAGTTCCCCATCTGAGGCTTCTGGAAACCCCCAAGAGTGGTTTTTTAAATAAGAGGAAAGAAGCATACGTTTTATTAACTTCTTTATTGTCACCTGCAGTTTACTAAACAAATAATAAAACTAGAGAACCTAAATACAACAAAACTTGAGGCAAATCTCAAGAATTCTACTTATGATGAAGAAAATACTGCCACCTACTGGAAATATGTTGTTCTTACAGCTACTGCCTTTGACATAGGAAAAGATCTTGATTTAGCTCATTTTTGAGACGTTTCTGAGAAACATACATTTGAGCCTGACATGAGTTACCAGTCCCCCTTGTTTTGTGGGTTCATAGTGCTGATAATGTTCCTTGCTGCTTGGCCTTCTCCCTGATGAGAAAGGGGGTGGAGAGGAGATGATGAGAAACGCAGGCAGGCTGTTTTCCTGCTTCTCACAAAAAGTGAAGTCAGGACTCTGAAGGAAGGAAAGTAATACTATTGGCTAAATATATGTTTTTGTATTAAACATGGATTTTCCTATGTGAATATGTAGCCCATTTTTATGGATAATTATAAAGCACTTAACAAGTGCTAAATACCCACATCACTTGGAAAAGAAGTGAAAATATGTGATAAAGGAGATTATTAATATGTCTATGTTCACTATAGTCCTAATTAGTCATTTAAAAGTGCCTATACTTCTTTATATTTTCTAATTTTTTCTGCCCGAAGTAAAAAAGTTAAAACAAAATAAAACACTGCATGAGCTCAGGACCACTGACTAAAATTAACTTTAGAAAGAATCCTAAAGAAACTACACTGTAAAACTCAGGTCTTGGACTCTCGGAATTGCTTATGAGTCTGATTTGCTCCCTACCTGGGTCTGGTCCCAGCCTCCCCACTGCGTCCCCCCACGTCAGCTCTGGTCTAACCCCTCCCCCGCCCTGACTCTTCTGCAGTTTCTGACTCCACAGTAAATACATTCCAGGCTCTTTGGCCTGAATTACAGTTTATCACAACAAGAAGTATTCATTGAGTTTAAATCATTGTGCTAAGCAAAGAAGGCATGCAAAGGTAGAAGAGGAGGCATTGTCTCTTCAGCCTCCAGTGGAAAGTGTGAAGTATGCATGCGATACACACACACACACACACACACACACACACACACTTCACTGCAAGGTACAGTAATCAGTGGGTCTAGGGGGAGGCCATATGCCGTGTTGAGAAAGACCAGAGAAGGCAAAACTTCTGCCAGAAAATTCAGAAAGATACTACTATCCATCTGGTGGATACTTTTGAGTTGGTACTCATTGCATTCATAGTTTCAACAGAGATGAGCAAAATTTTAAACACAGAGAGCACCCAGGAGGCCAGGATGTATAGATGTTTGCACCAATAAAGCATCCTGAGAACTCCACGCTTGTCGTTTTCAGTCCATATTTCCTTCCAGCAGCAGTAAGTTAAAATGGGAGAAGAAATGCGGGCCTTTCCAGATTTTGATGGTGGCGGTAAACTAGTGGAAAGAGATCCAACAATCTCTACTAAATGAGGCACAACCTGTAAGCTGGTAGTTCCATTTTTAGGAATCTATCCTACTGAACTAAAAGCATCATTACTATAAAGTTCACTAAAGTGTGAGTATAAATACAAGAATGTTAATTTCAGCATTGTTTGTAATAACAAAACGCTAGAATTCTGATCTGTGGAGGACTGCATGAATAAATTATGAAACCTCCATACTATAAATCTTATTCACCTATTTTTAAAAATTAGCTGTGCTTGGAAAAATGCATCCACATATGATGGACTGATGGATGGGTATATAGATAAAGTAATAAGTGATGAAGTACAGCAAAAGGTTAATGTAGAATCTAGATGGTGAGTAGGCATTCACTATTCAATTCTTCCAACTTTCTGTATGCTGCTGTTTATAACACGTTGTTGGCAATAAAAAGCATGAGTCAAATTTATATATATTGACCTAGAAATTAAGTTTTTTAGAGATGTAGAATGATGTCTATGTTATGACTCTATTTGTGTGGTTAAGGAAGCTAGCCCCTGAATCTGGGAACCCAGCGCCATCACTTACTAGCCCTCTGACCTTTTACAAGTCACTCCCACTTGGTGCCTCAGTTTCACTGGTAACATACATACCTCATTGTTGTTATGAGGAGCAAATGAGTTAATACATTTACATTTCTTAAAACAGTGCCTGGCATATAATGTGCTCAGTAAATGTTATTATTAACTATGACTGTTTGAGAGGGAAAAAGGTCATATGGATGGTGGCCCTGGCAGGGTCGCTCAGTTGTTTAGAGCACCATCCGGATACTCCAAGGCTGGAGGTTTGATCTCTGGTCAGGGCACATCCAGGAATCAACCAATGAACTTCCAGTCAAGATGGCGACATAGGCAGACATGGCTCGCCTCTTTGCACAATCACATCAAAATTAAAACTAAAATATAGAACAACCATCACTCAGGAACATCAGAAATCAAGCTGAATGGAAGTCTGACAACTATGGAATTGAAGTAACCGCATCCATTCAGACCGGTAGGAGGGGCACAGACACAGAATAAACTAGCCCCAAACCCACATGGATAAAAATCTGAGAAGGATATTTCAGGAGTGAGGAGTCCAAGCCGCACACCAGGCTCCCCAGCCCAGGGTTCCAGTGCCAAGAAGATAAGTCCCCACAACTTCTGGCTGTGGAAACCAGTGGGGATTGAGTCAGTGGAAGGAACAGCTGGAGCCTAAGCAGTTCCTCTTGGGGGACCCACACACAGACTCACCTACTCAGACTCACTCCCTCTGAGCTCCAACACAGGGTGGCAGCTTGAAGGGCACCAGTGGAATACAGGGAAAGACTGAAGTATCTGGCATCAGGGAAAACAGAGGCCATTGTCCCTTTGCTGAGCCCTCCCCTCACAAAACCAGTAGTGTGGTACCATATCTAAGACTCCATCAACCTGGCTAACACTGTGTGACTCACCCTGGTGACCCACCTTTAAGGCCCACAGAGGGTCTGCCCCACCCAATTTACAGGCCCACCCAAGCTGCTGTTCTATAAGAATGGCTGGTCTTGGCTCCTAAATCCTATCACACAAGCAACAGCTGGCTTCAGTGAGCCCTAGCAGCAGCCAGATTAGAGTCATGGCTTGGCTTCACCTGGGAATCTCCAAACCCAGCACAAGCTGCAACCATCTCAGATTGCTTTGCAGCTCAGGCAGGGTGCCCTGGGCAAAACACAGGTAGAGTGTGACCTTGGCCTACACTACCCTGGAAACCCCAGGGCCAATGCACCCAGTGGACAGCTACAGACTACATCAGAGCACCACCACCCTGCCCTTGCAGAACTGATCCTCCACAGAGGGCGGAGGTGGGTGG